TCTTTTGAAGCCTAAAATATATTATTTTTTTTTGTACTAATCTTATATCCTGTCAACTTTTTTAAGATATTTTTATAAAAATAGATGCATCAACTTTATTATGGATGCACTTTTGTTACAAATAGAAGTGGATGATAAGCTCTACTAGATAGCTTTTATTTTAGAAAAATTTTAGCAATAAAGATTAATTACAAGATCCATGACAAAGATCTTTTGTAATCATGGATTTGTTTTAAGAATGGCATTATTATCTAGAAGGTGCTTCTAGTCTAGTTATTATATATACAGATCATAAGAATCTTTAGTACTTTATGTGAGCACGTATTTTGAATCATTGTGAAATTCGTTGGAGTATATCTTTATGAAGATTTGATTTCAAGATTACTTATCAACCCAAAAAATAACAATGGTAGTTAAATGCAATTTCTAGATATTCTTATCTTGCACCAAATAAAAAAGATGCATCTTTTGATGAACAAAGAATAATTCTTGTAAAGCTAGAGCATTTTCATCTTTGAGTAATGACATCAATATTAACTATTGATTCAATATTTTTCAAATAAGTTCAATTGACTATGTCTTTTAATCCTCTTATTTATAATATTAAGAATAATTCTTGTAAGTCTCATGATACTTTTAAGTTTAAATTCAAGAATAATCTATTCTATTTTTAAAGATTATTATATATTCCAAAAGACAAAGTATAATTATGTACTCTTCAAGCTTGTCATGACTTTTTAGCAATTGGACATTTTAGATACAAAAAAACTTTAAAGCTAATATCTAAAGATTTTTTATGGCCTCAAATATCAAAAGCAATTAAAGACTTTATACAATCATGTGATGTTTTTTTAAAATCAAAAATTCCTTGTCATCAACCTTATAGACTACTTCAACTATTATTTATTCCAAAACAACCATAGTCTTTTGTTTCTATAGACTTTATTATGGATCTTTTAGTCTTAGGTTCTTTTGACTCTATATTCATGATAGTAGATTGATTCACCAAGATGGCATCTTTTGTACTATATACAATATCTATTAAAAGTAAAGAAATAACTAAGTTTTTTTTAATAATATTTATTATTATTATGGATTGTAAAAAAAATTTATATCAAATAAGGAAACACAATTTGTATTAATATTTTGAAGAATTCTTTTAAAACTTTTGAAGGTAGATATAAAATTATCTTTGGCATTCCATCTTCAAATTAATGGACAAATAGAGTGAGTGAATCAAGTTTTAGAGCAATATTTAAAATATACCATGAACTACCAATAAGATAATTCAACAACTCTTTTACCATTGACAAAGTTTACTTATAATGACATGGTATATTTTTTTACTCAATAAATACCTTTTTTTGCCAATTATAGTTATTATCTATAACTTGATATTTTTAACTTTTCAAAAGTTAATAATCCTATAGCAAAAAATTAGAAAAATCATTTGTTAGAACTACATACAAGAATGAAGGCATAACTTAAAGCAGCTCAAGAATGACACAAGATCAATGTGGATGCTTATTGAAAGGAACAACTTCAATTCTATGTTGGCAACAACATATAATTACTTATCGTAATATTAAGACTATTTAAATTTGTGATAAGTTGGATTATTATAGAATTAGACTATTTCCTATATGTTAACAAATTAATCTAGTTTCTTACTTATTATATTTATTGAAGTCTATGAAGATCTATCTTATATCTTCTTAAGCCATATAAGACAATAGACATAAAAAGAGGTGTAATGTCAAGGATATATATATTTATCTAAATAAGAAATATTAGGTAGGAGATAAATATAAACAGATTTAATATTATCTTATGGCAAAACTTCTAAGAAACTTAATAGATGCATATTTGACTTTATACATACTTAAAGTTGATTGATAGGATGGAAACTTAGCCAATAAGTTAGCTACGTGTTGTATGTGTAGATAATTTGTAGTACAATCTAACAATGTAGTACATAAATAAAAAAAAAAACTTGTCTTACAAGTTAAGATATGTGTTGGAGGTCCTATAAAAAGTTGTCACATAGCTCCTAGTTGATAGTCTATATAGAGGCAAGAGTGAAGCCTTTTTCACTCTTGTCAATGTCTTTTTAATATTTAATCTTATTTCAAGCCTTTCTAGTCTTTATGTCTTTGGCAATAGCCATTCTAGATTAATATTATACCATCTTTGAGTGATTCTCTAGTCTTTTTGAGTAGCACAAGAGGATATTGATTTTTTAGTTTCCTAATATTTATGTCCTTAACAACACCATATATCTACAAAAACAACACCTTCAATTTGATTTTGATTCTTTATATCTTCAAAGACTAATATGAATTTTTTTTTAATAAAAAAATATATACTTTTAATATTTTTATGCATTTTCTAAATTTGTTGATATTTCTTTAATTTGAAATATTTTTAATATATTTTATGAAATTATATATTTTTTAATATATTTTTTAATATTTCTAATATTTCTAACAAAACATACATCATATTTGTACTGTATACCATCAAATGTGGCCCTTCTTACTATAGTCTTATATATTCCATTGATGCCAATAAGACATATTGCCTTCACTTTTTTCATTCATAGTTGTCTTACTTTAAATAAGCATTGATTTCTATTTAATAATTTTTCTTTACAATCATCAACTTGCAAATTCAAATTAAATCACAAAACTAAGTTATATTACAAAGTACATAGTTCCATTTCAATTTATTTTTGTAAATATAAATATAAATATATATATATATATATATATATATATATAGTTTATTTATTTTTATTTAATTATTATTATAATGTACATTATTAATAAAATTAATTTAATACATATTAAAAAAGAAGTGCATAAGCATTACTAATAGTTCTTTGTTGATAATTTTTTTTAAATGTATGTTGACCATTCTTACTCTCTAATGTATCAATGTTGGCTTCTTAATCTATATCTTTATCTATCAAAATCTTTTATTTTATTATAATTAGTCTTCTCCAAATATTTGCAAAATTTAGGCATAATGTAGGATTCAAGTTCCAACATTCTTGAATAAGCTTTATTATTTCACCAGATTGTGAAGGTAGGACTAATCTATCATCAACTTTTATTCTCAATAATATCTTTATCTTAGTATTACTATCTTTAAATAGAAAACTTCTGGTAAAAATCTTAGAGCACATCATTGCAAATAAGAAAACAATTGCTTCTATAAAAGAAATCTTTATAGTTCTAAATCCATTTCTTAATACTTCTAAAGTCATACATTGATAAGTACCATGATTAATCTTTTTGTTGTCATATTGACTAAAACATTGTTGAGCTTTAGATCTTGATGTAAAATTTTTATGTCATAAAAGTAACACATTTCTAGAGAAATTTGATAGATGACATCAATAATAAAATTATATAATATTTCTTTATTTTCTTTCACAAAATGTCACTGAAGCTTTTTTCTACCAATTCTATTTCTATTTTTTTTTCTTTTTACATTATGTTTAATAAAGAATCAAACAAATGCTAAATCAATTCAATGCTGACTACACGCTTAGTATAATAAATAAGAAAACAGCAAACACCAAAATAGACAAAATAAAATAAATAATAAATAAAATAATTAGTATTTTTGATAATTATTTTATTAATTAATAAGGAGAATATTTTTATTTGTAGAAATTTTACTACATCTAAATTAAATAATATGTTAAATGTAATAAGAAAATAAAACACCAATTCTTGAATTATTTTATTTTATTTTATATAATTAAATTCAGAATAAATAGTCAAAATTTAATATAAAAAATAAAATTTAAATATTAAATTAAATACCAAATTTTGAAACATGTGTTCTTTTTATTTATTTTATAATTTTTTATCATGTTTGTATATTATTAATGATAATCAAGTCTATATATATATATATTTTTATTTATTTATTTATTTATTTATTTATTAAAATAAATATTAATATGTACTTGAAAAATATTAAAATAGCTATTGCTAAGTACAAGAACTAAAGGACTTTGAACTAAGACTTAATTGCATTTAAAACAAGTAGATAAAAATAAAAATAAATAGCTTCAATCTTGCCTTTACAAACACCAATTAATAAAACATCAAACATGACTATACTGTTATTTTAAATTCTATATGTAATTTTGAAGAAATTAAGTGTTTTAAGAAAATTCTAAACCACAAGCTAAGTTATACATTGGAGTTATTCAATTCGCCATATTTACTTCTGATAGTAATCATTAATTAATTCATACATCAATTAATCATTAAAGGGTATGCTTACACTTTTGGATATATATGCACATATTAATTTTACATGTATCTTCTGTTTTGATAAAATATTTGTAGACATTCAAAATATTTTATCAAATCAAAATAGTCTTTGGCTGTAACATTTTAGCATTGTTATTTTACATGATTTGTAGCATTGTTCAGTGAGATATTTCTGGAAATGTTGGAAAAAGGTGCAAAGTGAAATATAACTAAGCTTGTTGATACTAAACTGCAATTGTTTTTTTGGACCAATATAAAAACCACTAAAATTGAAACATTTCTAGCTGAAATTTTATTGAGAGATGTAAAAGCAATTAAAACTAAGTAATTTAGACTTGGATTTGAGATTTCTAATAAAATTTGAACAGAAGTTGCACTTGAACAATTTGCAAACAGAGAATAATGTAGTAAATCAAAGCCTTTTATCGAATATAGAGACCTCCAAAACCCAATAAAAGCTAAAATACATATTATAAATCTAAACTGGATTGTTGAAGTTTTAAAACGTGATTTACAAAATAGAAATGCAAATGATAATATTTTTTTTGTTTACACAAATACTTTAGAAAAAGAAATACTAAGTTATTGCATCATGAAACATACATTATATTTATAAAAATTGTGATAGGATATATATATATATATATATATATATATAGATCTTAGTATCAAGAATGATTTGAATGCAGTAGAAAACATCAAGCAATATAAAACATTATACTATTTTCATCTATTATCACAAAAACACACAACTCTCAACATTTTATAACTATAATGTGTGTGCATGTACATACATATGATTTTAAACCAAAATTATGTAATGTATATTAACCACTGCAATACACAACATATCACCAAAAATATATCTTACCAATCATGAGAGGCCCTACTTAAGCAAGGATCTGCTGTCTTCAAAACTGGGAGCCTAGTTGTTTTGTTTACTCCACTGTCGGTGAGGCATCGACGGATTTCGCAAAATGGGTCGCCTCTTGAATCGAGAAATTCGGTGAATGCGCAATACAAACCCAGTGCTAGAAATCTCATGGGAGCTTGCCCAGCTGCAGGCAAAGCAACAAATTACAACAACGCCGAGAATGGCTTCGAATAGGCTCCAGGCTTCCGATTCTCACAGCCTTCGGATTATCTTCGACAATGCCAGCTTGGAATCTTTAGTAAATCTTAAAAGCAATCTGCGGTCGAGTGTGCTGCAGCTAAGAATTGCAAGCACAAAATGTTGAGCATAGTCGTTCCGAGGTTGGTCACGGTCCAAACCATGGCTTGGGGCACAAGGCGGTGTGTTGCTCTCAGCTCCTGATGAGGCGTCAGGTGCATATGGGTCAGTTGAGACAATTGGAATCAAGCTGCATATTCTAATCAACTAGCTGTTTGGAAGACAGGGACAAGACCACACCTGAGCTTCTGATCGAGTGATTTGGAGATGGGCTTGTAGAAGTGTTGGTGAGGCGCATGGTCTCGAATCTTGCGGGGTACCTTGTGTACATTGTAGGGCGGGGATGGCCCATTCGAGCAACGCTCCGAGAGCAGTTTCAGGCTCGCGTGCCGCCCAAGGATGACGAAATTCTCGCGTATAGTTGCGTTCCGTGTCTCCCATGACGATGGCAGTGTGTTGGATCTTTCGAAATTGCGGTCTGCTTGTTGCGGCAATGATTTAGGTGCTGGTTGTTTCTGCACTGGCACAGACACTCGGCATAGCTTGCCGAGAAGTCGAACAAAGTCGCCGGATATGTTGCTGTCGACAAATCCTCCGCCGCATAGCATCCCCACCTTCGCGTCCTAGACAGAAGCAAACAATTTCACTCGTTGATGATGCTACAATATGAAAGTCAAAGTGAACGTCTTTCCGTCAACTGATTTGAGGCTTCTGGGATTAGGCTTTCCATAAAATGATTGAAACATAGAATACAAAGGTTTGGTCACAACTATTAAAATCTTGACAAATAGATTCAGCAAGAAAGAAACACTCCAAAGTGCGGCGTACCTCGCCCTCATCCTCGTCCTCCTCTGTTTCATCGTGATGCCGCCTGGCATTGCTTCGAAGAAGAAAAGATGGCGACTCGAGCTTCGACGTTGAAGCTGTGACTTCCCTTCTGGATTGAAAAGAACTTGATACTGGAGAGCTTGGCGTGAAACTGGACGATGCGTCGAAGAACTTCGTTCTCTCACCGATGGATTGTGAATCTAAAGAGCTTCTCAATTCCGATCCTCTGTTTTTGAGTGAAAGCATGACATTTCTCCGGCCCATTGTTTCAATCTCTGGCAGGGGCAAAGGAGGGTTCCGTAATTTGACAGCGCTACTAATTGTTGTGCTTCGAGATCTAATACCATGCAGAGTAGGCTGGACGTGATGAGTCCTCGGCATCGAAGTCGACCGAGGACGGATCTTTGTGGAACTTTCCCACTTAGGTTGCTCTTCCATTTGGTCATTCCAAGTGGCTCGAGTCGATCTGCTTTTGAGCGGGGACTTTTTGCGAGGTCTAGGAGTGCTCGGGCCCTTTTCAACCTCATTTTTGTGGTCGAATGAAACGTGCAGCGCATTACATCTTTCCGATCTTGCACGCAGATTGCTACTATGATCTGAGCTCTCTTCGTTTGAGTTCGTCCTATCGGTTGCAATTCCGGGCGTACAAGGCGAGGCATTGTCACTGGAGACATCAACTTTGTGAAGATGGTAACTGCCATCCCCGTAGAAAACACCTGCTGGCAGGGACAAGTCTCCTCTGCATGGGCTGTCAAGCTGCCTAATTGATTTTAGCCCTAACCCCGTTGGAGAAACTGACCTGCTGTGTGCTCCACTCGAGCTCGATGCCCTAGGCGTCCTCGGAGTTGTAGGGGCAGTATCAAACCTGTCAGGTGATGATGAGTGGCGGGATGAATGATCCTCATCAAGCAAGGGCTCGATTGGAGTGAATTTTGTACGCACACTGATTCCCTTAAAGGATTTCAGGGGATACGCTGCTTTAAGCATCCTCTCCCTAGATGTCTGAGAACCAAGCTCCCAATCTTTGAGGGAGATATCGGTGCCATCGTCGTCAATTGGCTTTGGCAAACTAAATGTCCTCATTTCTCCTCCTACTTGGAGTGTTATGACGCCCTTGTGCAATTCACCCATCGCTGAATTCCACAACTCTGTGTCGCGCTCTATTACTGAATTCAAGGAGGCCATCGCTGGATTCAAGGAGATTACACCACCATGAGCAACTAATCTTTGATTCAAATTTCCATAAGTTTAGAAAAATGACCAGCTTATGCTTGAGAAGAATGCGTCGCCCCCGGCTGGAAAATTGACTAAAACCCAGTGAGAAACCGAGTAGAAGAGGAACTTTTTCAAGGAGCTTTGCCCGTTTCCCCGTTCCAGGGAGATGCACCCTTCTCAAGGATCGACTCCCCTATCATTCAAGCATCTTCGCCAGGCTAAGGCAACACAAGATCCTTCACCCTGTACCTCGATCAAAGAAAGAGTTAGCCACACTACCCGAGAATTGAACAGAATCTAAAAGCTGGAGAAAAGCACTGACCTGATTTAAATTGCTCTTGCTCCTGTACTCAAACTCAAGCCCACGACAGCAACACTAGATCTTTCACAAGCAACAGTCTAGTGTGACACAAAGACCTCCCTCCACCGCAACCTCCGAACGATCAAGAAGTGAAAACAAAATTCCTACAAAACAGCTCAGAGGGCTAAAAAGCGAGAGTCCTCGACTCAGTCCAAGTGCATATCTAATCACTGAAACTAAATGACGTACCCAAGTTCACCATCACAACCAAAACCTCGTACAACAAGAACATACAACCAGGGAGGCGCGACAGAAACTACAAATTCGATGACCTAATCCCTTCCATTAACTCTACAACCCGCCGGTGTGGAGCTGCATCTCACAACCTGCAACAAACCACAACCATTGCGACCAGGATACGGGGAGATTTCTGCTCTGTGAAACACCATGCGGGAGCAGATCCGCAAGCGACACATTAATGTTATGAGCTAAAGACAGAACCAGAATCAGCCTGATGATCATGTCCTCGGAGCGGGTGCTCGCAATGCTCGGATCCTCCATGCAGGATGCACCATCATGGTTGACTGTGCCATTCATTAGGGAACCATAACATATTCATCTCAAGACTCGGATGATACCAAAGGTGAAGGTCATCAGACTCAGGGTTGCCACCATCAATTTATCGATATGGATGACGCTCCCCGAATTGCGAAGCTGGGTTCTCTAAACGTGAACGTCTATAATTCAAATCCTCATCTGCTTGAAATACCCATCTACTTCGTCCCACAATACCCTAATTTTAGCATTCTAACGCATGTGACTTCTCACCATAGCCAAGGATTAACGGGAAAAAATGAACACACTGGGCCTCTGTTAGTGGCGGCTGCCAAGTGTGCGTCCACAGCGACTATCCTCGATTTGGCCACACCTGTCGCACACGGAAGATGGGTTTCGTCATTACATAACAACCCTCACCCCTAACCACCCTGCCATTGTCAGAGTTTGACAATTTGTGCACATCCAAGGGTTGGATCCCATTTCGAGGTGGGTTGTCGGGATTAGAGTTCATGCTTCAAATAGCTTCCCCGAGAGCATGATTATCAAAACCCATGCAATGCGTTTTCTGTGGCAGCGCCAGGAAGGAACTGTGCGCAGGGTGAGGAGACCTCACTGATTGCTTTCCAGTTTCGTGGGCTGAACGAGTCTAATCCCGCTCAAATTGCTTCTGCGACAGGGCTCCCCTCCTCGTGATCGGCTATTACGACTGAGGCACCGTGAGAGGACCTTTCCAGCTTGTAAAAAAAGTCCCAATGCCGAGATGCCGAGACTGATTCAGTGCTGCTGCTACTGCTATTCCCGGGATGAGCGTTCCGCCTCTCGGGAGCCGGGGACGAAGCTCCAGTCCCTTGAATGAAATCCTAATGGATGAACTCGTTCGTTGGACTGTCTCTTGGGTGAAAATTCTGCAGCTCAAGGCTTTTAACTCTTTTGAGTTGATTTTATTTCTACTTTTGGCCATGTTTTTCTTTGTTTTTTTTTTCATAAATTTAGCTTTTTTGGTTGATTTTTATATAGATCGTTTGTTTGTCTTTTTTTTTGTTTCTTTTTGTTGTAGTATTGCTTGCTTGTATTGTTGCTCACTTTGCCATTTGCCAATTCCTTGAACTTAATTAAAAGAATAATAAGTAAATAAATGAATGAAATGTTTTGAATCTGTCAAAACATCAACGATGGGGAAATAATAATAATAATAATAATAATAACCTTAATTTAAAAGTAAGAATCACCACAAACATTATGAATAGTGGTTCTTCTTTTAAGGTGGAAAATGAATTATTTAAAGCATATTTGTAATCTTTAATCCTTAGAAATTAAATTCTTTTGCAAGTTTACAACAATAACATTTGAAGTTTCAAGTTTAGAGCATTTGCAAAATTCAGTAAATAAAAATTTAACCATGGTTTCAGTATCCAAGAATGAATTATATTTACCTTTGGATGATTAGAAAAAAAAGTAGGAAGTAACACAAGGTGAACATGCTATTTGATCAGTGTAAGAACAAATAAAGGTGTTTGCGGTTCATAATTTTCTCTCGACTTTTCATCCACAAGTAGGAAACAATTTCCTTCCTAAATTGCCGTACAAAATATTGAGCTGTAGGTTGGCCATTGTGAAATAGGACGTCAGAGAATTCCGATTTCCAGTTGTGATCGTCATTAATTAGCTGGTTTGGTGGCTGATATGATTTTGACCTGAGTAACCATCCAAATATGAAGGTTAAACAATTGTCAGAAATTATCAATTTATAATGGCAAAAAACAACCGTGGAATAGAAAAATGAAGCTGGAATAATTGGGTAAAAGGGTGATATATAGAGAACATAACTCCCTCATTAGATGACCAAGTATAATTCTGAGCTAGTCAATTCCTACCCAAAGCCCACTGGTGAAGTCGAAAGCTTTTTCATGCTTGTCAAGTGTCTGATTTAGAAGCAATGTCAAAGATCGGCTGTCACCATGTTTCGTTTGTTGTGACAATCCACCCAGGCATGGCGATTGAACAAAGCTCTCGGTATCACAAATATTAACTCAACACTCTGAATATCTTCATTGAAAAATCTATCAAACTATAATCAAATCAATACAACACACGTCTAAAATTTTGATGTGTGAGAGTTGGTGGGCAAGTCGGGAATCAGAATTTGACACGACCCAGGAGTCGCAGCAGAAAATGCTGTGGACACCAAAGGATTGTACAAACGCTCCCAAACTTGACTCGCCATAGTCAATGCGATGACAGAAATATCGTTCCTATGGACCTGTTACCAATCCACGAGCAGACAAGCAATAGACTGAAACATCTTTACGGCTATAAAAAACTTAGGTGATGAGAATAACTTGAGCAATCACCAGATCATCTATTTTTCACTAAAAGATCTGAATATGCAAACTTTGTGTGTAATGGGGCTTACAGTGCATAATTGACGAAAACAGCGAGTTTTGACATTTGGGTGCGTAACTTGATTGCTTGAGGTAAATCTCATCCTTGTGGTGGCCGTGATTAAATCATTCGCAAGTTATGCGTCAATTCTTCCCAAAATTTTACATGCTACAGCATGCTCCACCTACCTACCCCATTTCCCCATAAGATATCGAGTTATGTACACAATAAACCGTCTACATTCCATACCATGATAGAACACGCACTTTGCCCTTGCAAGTGCACTTCTCACTCAGGGGATCAGATGGCCAAAGCGAGCAAAGTGCTCGTCTTCTTTCCATGCTGTGGTCGATAACAACAGTAGATGAAAAGACTGATATGTACAGCATAAAACCGCATCTCATGTGAGGTTTGAGAAGTCCTCCTTCCACGTTTCATAATAGATCGTCTAAGCTCTGCAAACACACCACTTCTCAATATACAATAATTCTTATTATTCTTTTTGACAAACACGCAATCCTCATGTGTGGGAAATGCGGACAGTTCCTAGACTGTAGCTTGCAGGACTTCAAAGGGAGGAAGCTTGTGACTAAGCACTTAATAATGTGCAAGTTTCATTCGACCCAAGTGTTTCAGACTCTCCGTTTCTTCCCAGATTATCAATGATTTGACACAGTTAAAACAGAAAAGTTAGAAGAAACGTACTTCAACTTTTGCTCAAAAGGTAGCTTGAGTGATTTGTAATAATGACGATGAGGCCCTATGCCCAACGACCCGTGTTTGCATCTGCCATGAGAATCTGATTTATTCTTGTCCGCATCCTCCGAGCAATCCCTTTCATCCGAACAGTATTCTTGGAGAAGTTGTAGAGCCCCTTGACTCTTTATGTCACCAACATAACTTTTTCCGCATGGGAAAACTTTCCGGGAACTTCCAAGCAACGGAGAAGGAGACTTAACGACAATCTTCGTAGTCGCTGAATCTGAGGATGATGAATGCTTGCGAATTTTATAGCAAACTGAGCCGAACAGTCTTGCAAGATCCTCTGATACCCAGGCTGCGTCCGATATCAGACCACAAACCATGTCCACTTTATCATCCTGGAAAATCATAACAGCCCCGACGAGTATGTAGAAGAGTCATCAACTATGCTGGGTTTGTTCTGTATATTAAATTTGTGTACAATGTCATAACTAAGAAGCCAAGAAGGAAAATTACAAAAGCAAACAAATCGACAAATTAAAGTGATGCTTGAATTAGGGAGTCGTTAAGTAGGATGTAGATCGTTATGCCTTGTGATTAACAGTCACTAAACAATTTTCTACTCTTCTAGAAAGTAGAAACGAGAACGGTTCAAAGAAAATACAAATAGAACACACCTTATCATCATAATCGACAGTATCGCGTTCTGGCCAACAATTTGACGATTGGGACATCTCAAATTTTGGAGTGCTTGATTGATTGCTTTCACCTCTGTAACATGAAGGCTTCTGAGCTTGAACCGGCTTCACTTTAGATCCTTCCTCAAAGGATTTCGACGAGAGCTTTTCCTTGGCATACGATATAGCATTTTCAGAGAAGTTGTTCCCCCAAATCAGGCCATGCTGATCACCGTCCTTGAAAGGAGTTACCGGTGTTTTCTCAGAAGCCTTGACTAACTTAATGGGAGGCAGGGACCTGGTAATAACGAGATCATGCGCCCTTCGTTGTTCATCACTAAGAGTCAATAACCTGACTGTTTCCTTCTCTGCAGTTAGAGGCAATTTGAAGGGCACCACTGACCGATCCTGGCACCCCTTTTGCGCAGTAGGGGTCAGTGGTGAGTTACTACGATTGTGAAACTTCGATTGCGATGATCCAGGTATATTCATGCTTGATACTGTGCACTTGATAATGGCCATAGCCTTGTCTTCAATTACTGCAGGCGGAGTTGATGCGGATAAACATTCAACTTGCGTTCTTCTGTTGCTTACAGAGTGTTTGAAATAAGAACTTCCTTTAGCCTCCAATTTGGGGCTAACAAGCGATGGTGAACGGCCATGAAGGTCCTTTCTCCGAGGCTTTTTAGGACCATTATTCACTTTCTCGGTTACCTGAGTACCTGGCGTTGGTGACTTACTCTTAACATGCTTCATACTTGCGGACCTTCTCAGCGCACTATTCCCTGGGTTGGCGGGATTAGTAGGGGGAGAGGGAAGAAATGATGCTCTTGCTTTAGGTCTTGCTCGTCCTCCATTTTTTGGTGTAGATAGTCTCTGAAAAACATCGCCTTTATCCACCTCTTCCAGTAGCGGAGCAGGTTGGACCGAGTTCGCGTCAGGGTCCGTATCTGTATTTCTGGCATTTGATGAGAGTGATGCAGACTTTTTGTGTGTGGGCTTCTTTTTGGAAGGCTTTCCGACCACATCACATCGATCACCAAAGTCTGCAGGAAGTGACATAGAGGAGGAGGGGTTTCTTTCAACCAATTTATTACCGTTCAACTGAGAAGGTACACCATAAGGTTCATCACCATGGAAGGGGGAAGAATTCATGGAAAGGGGTAACGAAAGAGCTGTAGGTGCAGATGAGGACAGCTGCATGCTTCCATCCACCATAAGTGAAGGAGAAGAAGAAGTAGAGGGTCCCCATTCAGGAGACTCAAATGGTGTCACCGACGGAGTCATTGTAAGAGCCGGAGTAGTTGGCTCAGAATTCGAAGGAGGTTCGAAGGCTCCAAATTCTAAGGACTCGGTCTCCAAAGCAGTAGGTTTCTTGGAAGCGAAGATAGTCTCTTCTCCACTGTTCGGCCGAAAGGATGTGAACAATCCTGGTAAAAATTCATCCTGCAGCTCTTTCCGCAGAGATAATGCATGCTTCTCAAGCAAGATGATTTCTTCTTCTAAAACAGCAACTTCAAATAGAAGCTCTCTCGTCTGCACATCATATTGGTTGACTTAGATATGTAAACTCAAAACCATGATCCGAGGATGCGAGGTTCTTCAGACATCATGATATAAAAAAAATTAGAAACACATGTTCCGGAATACCAGCCGCTTCTTGGACTATGCTGGACCAAAGAAGAGCCCATGCATCACAACAGGCTCGGGAGCGGGACATGAAGTATTTAAACTTCCAAATTCCGACCTTAGTAGGAACGTATCCAAGAAATTTGGGCCGAGTCCCTGGAGACCTTTGAAGGCCATGCTTCAGAGCTTCCCGCAACCTAATCCCGTGAGTGAGCTCCTCCTTCAAGTTGGCCACCTGAATGAGCAATGTAGCAAAAATCATTGATAGGGTCTAAATTTGTGATACTCGTCAATAGAAATAGGATGACAGAAAGCTGTCCAACCTTACCTCTTGCTCCAATGCAAATCGTTCAGCATGCAGCCCTGGTGAAATTTCACTCTGATTGCCCTCATTATCATGATACTGGACCCAAAGAGTAAAAACTTTTGGTCAATCGAGAGCTTCTCCGATAAAGATGTGATAAAGAAGTTTAGAGTGAAGATCTGTAAGTGAAGGAAGCATTTTCTGGAACGTCATCCAATCATGTACATAATAAGACATTACAGAGAATAATTCCTCATAAGCATTACCACTCACGGTCTTCATTAAAAATTCCATGATCAAGGATTTCAAGAATTTTTTTGATGCATTGTTTGAATCCACTACATCAACATAAATCACGTCGACGGTAACACTAAAAAAGAAAAATATTTGAGACAGATACTCGCGCAGTTTGTCTCGTCAAATTTTCCTTACCCAAGATGTACAATGAATTACCTGGGCACTGACTGAAGCAAATGAAGGAGCCAGAGGAACTAAAGGCAACTCAACATTGATTTCCTGCATCGGTTCGTTTGCATACGTTCTGTAACATCCAATTGTATCGTTCAGTTACTGAACATGAATGACTAGTAACAATAAAGAAAAGAACTGCAACGCGTAGCTATCAAAGCCTCTCTCGATGGTCGTATTCCGAAGTCTTGACCGTAACCTTGTGTAAATCTCCTGATCTAATGATATCATCCCTTCATTTAAGTCCATGGAAGATATGCTGAGCTTTCAGTGACGGAACAATGTATGGAATAAATCACTGACATCGGAAACCATTGAATATATACTTGATTAATTTTTGATCTGTTGAAACCAATGCCAACTACAAGATTGTTTACCAGGCCTTACCTGGCACAATGCCTATTTAAATCCTTTGAAAGGTCCTCATCAGCTCCGGGGCGCCATGAATGGCCTGATTTGGTCAAGAGAAATCCATCAGTACTTCATTCCTTGATTTACCTGGAAATAAAGATCTGATCAAAACTCCTCCAACACGCTCGAACAAAGAATGGGGCAAATTGGTTTTCCCCATACGTACTGAAATTTGCCTAAATGGAGTTTCTGTCTTCAACAATGAAGAACATGATTGTCAATTGAGGCTTCGGAACGCAGAGACAATGAGCTCCGTGTCACTTCTCGAGAAAAGAGCAGAGAGATCCACGAAACACAAGCCACAACGTTTGCTTGTTGCTATAGATGGATGTAGAACAACGAACTCACTGCTTATGCCAAAAAGGAGAACGGTGCTTTCTTCCTCCTATAGCTACGTTGTGGAAAGTGTCATTACAAATGGGGTGGACAGTACCAAGTAGATTCCTATTGAATCTCTTGCTAATTGATTCAAGCAACCTTTCGATTCTCTTCTATCGAAACGCATTCGGCTACGCTCAGTTCATAAAGCAGAAGTAGGTGCACGTAAGAAACTGTGCATGAAATCATTTAGCTGAGTAAGGATGAGATCTTGCTTTTGCGAAGCCATGAATGATTCCATTTAATAAAGAAAGAGTGGAGGGGGATCTTTGAACATGAACTTGCAATCTATTGACACTAAAGATACTGCAATCCCCACGTTACAGAAAGAGAGAGCTGAAGGAAGCCCAACGATACAGACTATACTTCCTCGATTCAATATGTTAATTATCAAAGGGCCAGAAAATGTCCTGCTCTCAGAGCATCCACAATTCCTAAGCTGAGCGGATTTTAAAATCTTCAATGTAAAGGCAAATTGACAGACCAATTAGACACACGTGGTCTTACTAACACAATATCGCGCCGCTAAGAGGCAGGCAGAGCTCTCTGGCATGGTTGTCCGTAATTCGTGAGCATTCGAAGCAACGTCATCCTCTGAACGTCGGCAAAGAACGGAGAAAGAATGCTGGCACAAAAAAGAGAGGTAGTCCTTCATTTTGATTCCTCACAGAGAAGTAGGTTCCGCTTCCTCTTCTGCTGCATCATCAAGCTGTACGCAAAGAGAGAGGACCGAGCAGAAACTCCATTTGGGGAAATCAGGATCCCGTCAAGCGACACAGTTGAAGAAAGAACCATCCTTCAACGCATCCTGAGGGTTGAGAATCCCGAGGCAATTATTGGAGGGCACCTATTAATCCTCGAAGACCTCAATTTCAGCGACACTTTTCCACTCAAACTGCGCTCGCGAGTCAAGACGCTTCAACACTAAACTGATCCGATCCGGTAAATTAACAATTCAACACAAACTTTGACAACCTCACACAACATTGCCTCGCACCGAAACGAATGATCTACACCTGCGCTCCATCTACCATTCCACTGGAACAAAAAAACAAAAAAATACAAGAAACTCCACTAACGGCACAACACTCACCTCAATCCCCCTTCGTCAGCTCCAATTCTTATATCTCACACAACCCCGCTCTGCTCTCATACCACAAACCAGAGCGCAACTTCGCTGCGATCTTCCTCTCAATGCATTCCAACTACGGCAACTCATCAAAACTTCCCAACACCAGCTCCGCCTGCTCAAATCCCCGCCCACTGGGACAAAAACATCGTGACGAAACAACCAGTGACGACTGCGGCAGCATTGGCAGCATCATAAGTCTCCACGACTCGGCAAGGATGCAGCTGGAGCAGGGAGAAGATCGGCTGAGGTGGAACAACGGTTTAATTTTAGCGATCAGCGAACGAGCAGCAGCAAGGTGCGGCCCATCTTCCCTCCCTCCCTCGCACAACAACACAACTTCATCAGCAACAGTGGATCCTCATTTCTACCAAGAGAGACGATGTCAAATTAAAGAGCACCGGGCCCGCGCTGTCACTTTCCTCGGGGTCCATGGGCGGGCTCTCACAGAACAAGGTAACTTCGAGAAGCTATTATTTAACCCCTCCCCCCCAGGAAAAGTCAAAGGAGGGATTGGATGAATTATATGCATGTGGACGGATGGTAAACTACGTTATTGCTGGATGAATCACGCGCGGCATTGTGGGTAATGCATGCGCTCGAAAATGGACCGCCCATGGGGAGGTGAGCCCATGCACATCCCTTCGCATCTTCTAGGAAATTGCTACAGTTTTGCGCTGAGGTCAACGAAGGACCCATGCTTGAAATCGAATAATGTGTGTAAAATATTTTATATGCTATTTTCCTATTATTTTTTGGGTTGCATCAAATTATGTGAGGGAAAATCGAACAACATTAATTGCTATCTGTGTGTTGATTTTATGGGAAATGGGGGATTGGGATATTTGTGATTTTTCAACCGTTTGGTTTTGCAAACAATTAATTTGGGGGATTGTGTATGGATAAGATGTTTGCTTTTGAAATTTATGTACATTTTGTTACTTTTTTGGTTTAATTCGATTGCAAGTTACTGCTAGAAACATAGAATACACGTTTTGAAAAGAAAAGAAAAAAGTCTTTTAAATAGAGAAGAAAGAATGATTTTTTTGTAACTAGGTTTGGTGCTTTGTGTGAGTGTACACATAATAAAACTATACAAAAATAAATGTAAAACTCTTTCTATTGTATCAAACCAATGCATGCAAGGTTTTATAGCATGGTTACAATCGACCAACCACTTTATTCTCATACAAGTATTGAATTTGATTGAAATATTTAGTTACTTTCTTTACATTTTCATTTTAGTTATTCATTTTAAATAGGTAATATAGATTCAGAAAACTTAAATGTTTAATTGATTGTAAGGTCTATTTCTTTACAAAACACAACCAAAGCAATATATATATATATATATATATATATATGTACGTATATATTTATAAAATATGGATAACAAATTATTTTTCAAAATTATTTATAATATTGTTTCTTGTAAAGTGTGTTGTTGTTGTTGTTGTTTTTTGTTTTTTTTGTTTTGTTTTTTTTTTTTTTTTTGAGGGCAATAAAAACTATGTGAAACAAAAAATTGAAGCATGCTTTATTTGTGTGAAAGTTTATTCAGCTATTATCAGTTTTTGAATCAGGTTAGATTAATAGAATCCAAAATTTTGAGACTATTTCAAACACCAAATTGATAAAACTCTAGTGGAGAAAATAGAATACATTCAAACACAAAACTTAAAAATAAAAAATAAAACTTTAGTAATATGATGTTCTACAGTGTAAAGTTTTTTTTTTTTTTTTTTTTTTTTTTTTTCTTAAATTAAGCTTTTGTAAAACTAAGAATCAGAAAGTTAATAAGCAACTCTTGACGCTCACTATGTGCAAAAAATATTATACATAAATATAATTATTATACATTATACATCTTTTAATGTTGTGAAGGATGTTTTTACAATTCGACACACATGATGGTAGAAATAGGATTTCGTGCATGGACCCATGCAGTAGTCATAGGCACCTGAACTGGACCATAAAACCCATCACCGATTTCAACGCCCGCAGCCACGCATGCCACGTCAGATGGCGGTGATTGGTCGATCCGAGCCACGTCAACAAGTGCCAAATTAACACAACAGGTACAACGAGTTTGGAGTTATTGTTAGTTAGTGCGGATATTTCTCAAAGAATGAGTTGGTGAATCATCCCTCCATGTCAGCATATTCCAAAAAAACGAATGAAACTCATCTTCCAGGTCAGGAAAAGAAAAGGAGGGAAAATCTTTGGCGGCAACGGTGTGGACACCGTGGCACAACTGGCACCTACGACCAGGTCCTAGGTGGAAAACTAAAGAGAGCTCGGTTCCCCTGGAATGACGTGGCATAAGATTGCCTGCTGGCGCTACTGAGATGGGTCCATATGCCAACTCGGATTCCAGCATAATCTCTAAGTGAGTGCAGTGAGAACACGTTAAAGGATTATATATTTTTAGCGATTCTTGTGTTGTGAGCATACAATTGCTAACTTTTATTCAATTTTTTTGTTGAATGGAGCTCAATTTAATTGCAAACACTACAGTTGTATTGCTTTGATTTTCAAGGTAGTAATATTATAAACTATTATTATACTTGGAGTCATAGATAGTTAGATGTCAGATTATTACTCAGTAGCATTACGTAACTACCACTGTTTGATGCTATTGCCATACAGTTGTAGCAATTTTGTAAATCATTATTCAGAACTTTGAAGTACTGAAATTGTATAATTATTTGTAAGGTAGTCTTGAACTTCATAATATTATTATATAATTATTATTCAGAACTTTGCAAATTATTGTTCAGAAAAAGTAGTCTTTAACTTAAAATAAAAAATTTACGAGCTTTCAATTCTTAACACTTTGGAGATTAATAATCCTTTACGTGAATTACAATATTTGAAGCGTTTTTTAGGTGTACATTATGGGCTTTGCACCCTTAAAACAAAAAACTTTAAAGTCATTTATTTTTATCACGAGGAATTTAAGACTTACTAGAGCCAAATAAAAGTGTTATTCGGAATCAAAGTTTTTTTTATCTCAATTTGATGACAGGCAATATTTCATAAGTGATTATTATAGTTGATTCTAAGAATACTTTGAGTAATCCAGTGCGATGTAAAAAAAATATTATTGTAATTTCTTTAATAATTCATTTTTCTCTTAAAAAAAAACCTTCTAGACAAAATTTAAAATTATTCATTCCATTGAGATTATTACCACGAACTTTCCCCTATATAACTGAAACCAAATTAGCTTTATGAAGGTGCAGATTCAAGGTGATACCAAAAACAGTTGGAACACATTGCAAGGCAGCATAGATGCAGAATTAGAAAATGCACACGCAAATCATTACTAAACCGTTTACATCCACAAAAACTGTAATTAACAATTCCAGTACGAACAATGGTTTTTTACCATATTTTGATCATCAATGAAACATCAAGATATATGCGATATTATTTGTCAGCTGGGTTTGCAATCTGCTGAGTGACAAGATATTGTAACTGAGAGAAAACACAGATAATCGAGGGGGTGTAAGAGTAGATTTTCATTGTTGCTGCCACTGACACAATTCAACTCGTATAGAACTCAAATTTGAAATTTTCAATTACTGTCTCCTACACTACAAATTCTCCAACATACACATAGTTTTTAGGTTCGAACTTGGTGAGGGCTGTGTACCTGCCAAGGAGGTGCGCAAGAGACTCAACAGCAAGCTGCTGGGTGGACCCCTATCCGAGAAAGATCAAATAGATTTCAGGTGGCTGTATGATTCTCGTACAAGATATTGTACTGATCGAAACAGATGCAGCACAAGATCTTCGCCATAAGGCCGAAAAAGGTAACGCTTATCTCTACATCCGGGGTTCTGCTCTCCACTTTTGTCAAGGCATGACAAAACCTATGAATTCGAGCTGTCCTGTCCACAAGCTCGTTAGGTTCTTCTAATTGCTTTAAACCTAACCAGAAATACGGCAATACAAGAATAATCTAGTATCAATAAACGAGGGAAAGAACGAAACTACTCTATGCAATTCAACAGCTCCAAGCCACAAAATGAGCAAGCAAAATCACAGGAAATTGGAACGCAAACAAAGATATTACCATAAACTAGCTGATGTGGAATTAGACAAGTAAACCCTTTCTAAACGTAACCTCCTGGTTCCCACACTTTCGCGCCGTGAAGACGTCAATACATGACGAGGAGACCAAGATCCATCCAGACACTTCTCATTTCAACCAGAACGTCAGATACTACATATTTCAGTTGGCGAAACGTTCCCAGTAGCTGAGGAAGCAGATAATGGAATGCTACCAGATTGAGAGAAAGAGCGGGGAGGCTAGAAAAGCTCAATAGTAGATGAAAATATACACCACAACTATGGTTCCAAAGAGGTGGATGTTTTTGAATGACATCTTACAGTGAAAAAAAAAAATCGGATAAGGCAACTAAAGGAGTAGATGAGCGAAAGATAACCCATCTCTGGATGACAAGACCTGCATCATCGTCCTGACTTTTTTGCCTTGTAGCCCATCTTGAGAAGTTCCTCCACTAGCTTGGCCGAGTGATTACCCTGAACAACAGGATGTCGAGCACGATTGCTAACGAAAATCTGACGCCGAAAGAGACTGAACCACTGCTGACTGCATAAATTGCAAGAATATCTCAAATAACCTAGAATTTTGCCTCTACATCTTACAGCCTCAATGTTGATATGAGGCATTCAGAGCGTGAAAAGTAAGGAACATCCTCAAATAAAAGATATGTTCGAAACTTGATCCGTGATGTAACACACCTGGATTTCAATTTCACCCTCCTTGACTGCGCCACCGGATCCCATCTTCGTTTTTAAGGTCTTGCAAAGTGCTTCTAAGGATTCCTCTTGTAATTGCAACCCTTTGATTAGCGTTACGGTTTTTCCGCCTCGTCCACGCTTGGTGGCTTCAACTATTAAATTCTGCTGCTCAGGTCTTACATCTACTTGAGTCTGTGTTTCAAACACATGCACTTGTATCAGGAGCAATTTAAGAGGAATACATTCTGCACCCTAACAGAGATATAATGAACTTTTACGTCGCTGCTATATTGTGATTCCATCTCATGAGAAGGTACTAGTACGATTACACTATTGACGGTTCTCTATGTTTTGAAGTTGGCTATTGAAAAAAGTATACAAACGGAAATCTCATTTTTTCTGTAATTTCCCTGCCCATCACTTTGTATGTCAATTCTTAGCGAAAATTCGCATGCAAGGTAGTGACTGGGAAATATAACCCTACGCAAAGGAATTCCATATGATGAGAAAAAGGCAAGACCTCATGCGGACTCAATGCAGTGGATACACTGACACTCAAACAGAGCACGACATTGTTTGAAGAGGTCCGTCGTCTAAACATCGGAATCTCTCCAAACAAATTGAATTCCATCCAAAGGATTGAATTCAACATCAATCTTACAATTGAAAGCTAGAAAGCGAAATTACCACAGGAGTGCGAGCCGGCTCAGCTTTCTTCCCCAAGCTAGACTTCCCTTTCTTGACCTCCGAGCCTTGGGTAGAGCGATTAACCTTGACCTCATCCCACCCTCTCCGAGACCCAGCTCCTATATCAATAAAATTGGGCTGTCTCTTGTTCTCTCCAGCAAAAACTCGCAAAACTCTTGGACCTGGTTGGCAAAAGCTAAAAGCAGTCGAGCTTTGTACGCGAGCCCCAATAAACTCAGAACGGGGGATAGAAAATCGAACGAGGAGCTGCATTGTAGAACCCAATTTCGGAATCGCACTCTCTTCACGAGTTTACAAAGTCCACCACTGGCTCGAATGTCACAAATTCAAACCATGGACACAATCGCCTTCAAGATCAGGTCAGTTGGTCTTAGGTCATCTCGGTTGGTTGGTCTTACGTCATCCAGCGGTATCACACAAGGGACTGAGAAACACGGTCTTAGAGTTCTCATGTTCCCGTCGTCGTCACGGACCCAATATGGGAGGCGCAAACCCTCAACCCTAACTCTCTTTGCGGGTCCTCGCTTGCTCGCTCTGTTGTTCGTTCGCACCTCGAAGATCTCCTGATCCATCTCTTTCGGCGAGCTTAGGACCTCTCAGCCATGGTGGAACGGAAGGGTGAACGCGTCAGGTCATTCCTCGCCCCAAGCACTCTCGAATGAGCCTTTTTCTTATATGGACTGGTGCTTATTGTGCAGTATTGTAGGCGTTGTAGCTGGAACTGGGAATGGGGATTGGGGTTGTAGAATGCGTCGGGGAGAAATTTTGAGTGCAATCAATGGTTCCAGATTATACAGTAGTCTGATGTGAGTGCGCAGACTTCAGAATTGGCGCGGTTGTGGATTTGGAATGTCTGGTGATCTGATTACTTGGTTTTGGTGGCATTTCGTCAGGTTGTATGTGCGAGGGACCATCCTCGGGTACAAAAGGTATGTTCGCTTGAATCTTGCTCTCGATGACCGAAGTTTGTATTTGTTGATAGGTTGATTGGGATGGTACGTTCCTCCGCCTGGTGGTGCGGATTTCTTCGATTGCCTCGTCTTAGTGCGGGTTGAGCTAGTTTATTCCAGTGTTTGACCTAAATTGTAGTGTGCTGGTGAGATGTGGATATGTTAAGTTAATGATTCGGAATAGACGTCAACGGTTTTGGTGTACTGTTAAGGATCTTAAGTAGATGGGGAATTACAATCTAGTTTCTTCGTGGTCGTGGTACGTTTATGAGAATTTTATAGACTGTCACGCACGCATCAAATGCCTGTCCTCGGGGTAAAACAATGTCGATGTGGATTTATCAAATATATTCTGAACTTGCGGTGATAAGTCACTTCCTGTAGTTTGATTTGGTATTGAATTCTAAGACCTGATTCCGCGCAGGTCGAAGTCCAACCAGTACCCAAGCACCTCACTCCTCCAGATTGAGGGCGTGAACACATCTGATGAAGTGAATTGGTACCTCGGAAAGAGGCTGGCTTACGTGTACAAGGCCAAGACCAAGAAAAATGGATCGCAGTTTCGCTGCGTTTGGGGAAAGGTTGCTCGTCCCCATGGTAGCAGTGGTGTTGTCCGCGCTAGGTTCAGGAACAATCTCCCCCCTTCTTCTCTGGTAAGTTGTTTCTTAGCACCAGTCTCTTTCGTAGAGTTTTTCTAAACTTTGAAGTGCAAGGTTACTATTGTTCACTTCTATGTTGAGAACTTCTGCAGTTTATGTATCTTAGGGTTTTTGTTAGGGTTTATGCTTAGTTGTGTGAGACTGAATGACATCACGAGATTGTATCCCTGAATTCACTTGGGTATGGTTACTTTCGATGTCTTTATCTAGAGTGATTCTCAGTTTGGATGGAAAGTTGACAATTGTTATTTTCTTTACCACAGGGTGCCAGAGTGAGGGTTTTCATGTACCCCAGCCGCATTTAAATATGTAAGATTGTTTTCTATTTAACTGTGTTTAGAATCTTCAGTTTTCTAGTTAATGGTGTCAAGCATCCTTCATATATGAACTGCTAGGTGTTCGAATGTTGTGGATATTTGCGATTACATCCTTGTAGTCGTTTTTGGAGACTAATGATCTGTAGTTAATCTCGTGTGCAGGATTCAAAAGCATTCCAGTCTTTTGAGGCGCGAATGGTGGATGAATCTGTGGATATTGTGATCCAGCAGAAATTCATTTCCTGTTTAGTTTTTTACGTTTGGGGACCCAATCAGGTACCCGAGTCTGTGCGTAGCCGAGCCCCTTTCTGTTTTGGAGTTACTATTTTCATAATTGATATCCGAATTCTTGCCTTTCGTCTCTCTAATTTTATTGCTACTCTAAGACTCATTTCGCTGCAACTTTACAGTTTGCCACTCATTTTTTCTGCTTTGATCATCCGCTGTGTATTTGGAACTTGAAATTCTTCGTATTAGAACGATGTTGAATTTTGCATGCAATTGTTGACGTTTTCTCAGAGTGCGCAGATGCATACACGTGATAGTGTATTCTTCCTGAACTTCCTACGTAGTTTTTCATTGTAACTTCCGCTGTGGTACTTGAAATTTTCAGTTATATATTTTTTTTCAACATAAATTTCACACGATGTCTACCGTCCTTTTGCGCGAATATTAGAAATTTTGTAGTTCAAAATTGATCAGATTTTTTCAATGTAAGTAGTGTAAGAACGATGAAGGTAGTCCAAGGGTAAGTTTACATAGAAGCCATTACTTCACAAATGTGGTAAATTAACAATGAGATTATAAAGAAAAGAGTCCAACATCATGATTGTGCAAGGTTTTTTTCTAAATATCTAGGTCATGTCAAGATGCCTTGATACCTTACAATCACAATCATGTAGTTTCTAATTGATGTATGCATTATCGAATGTTAAAAAACTCATATATTAAACAATAGGTTTTATCTATTGGAAATTGCGTATTAAGTAAAGTAGAGAACTTCGTGTTCTAAATCCCACTATAATGAAAGATTGTTCTCAAGACTTAATTTATCTACGCCAGTAATATTGGATGTAATTCTGCTAAGGTGCTACATAAGTTAAAATTTCATGTTTCACTACTAACACCTTAATCAACAATTTAAACTATTTAAAATATTATACTCTGTTGAATTATTCCATTGAATATATTTAGAATGTAGTTCTACAAATCTGTTTAGGAATGTTCACAACTTTCTATGAGGTTATTCTTTAACTTACGATTACTTTAACTTTTTTTGTTTTAAAACTTTTTTAAACAATTAATCTATCAAAACTTTTAGAATAATATTGTTGCCACCACAACCTGCCTCCCATGCGATACATTTCTTCAGCTTTTTTTTATTCCAGTCAAAAGATTTTGTCAACATAAATGTACATATATATATATATACATATATATATATCTCTTATTATAGAAAGTAACATTAAAATTAATAAAAATTAATTAAAAATTAATCAAGAATAAGTTGTTATAATAGCAAAAACTATGGTGCCATTAGCTATACCCTATTTTTAACACTTTTAATACTAACATTATTATTATTTCTAAAGTTTTGGTAGAGGTTTTATATAATAATTGTAAGAAATAATTAACTTGTAACTGTGGTGCTTGTTGTGAGCCAATTTGTTATTTCTAGGAGCATCTTGAAGAATGTTGTGGTAGAATATGGGAGGCTTAGAGTAGTAATTCTATTAGTCAATTGTGTAGGGATTTGTACCAATTACTCTTGTAATGTAATTGCATGATAAGAATGTTTTTATTTCTAGAGTAGCTTTAATTGTGCAAGGTCAAGGTGCTTGTGACTATTTAGGTGAAAGGTAAATTTGTGGTTTTGAATGTGGAGCATGCAAAAGTAGAATACAACAAAAGTTGACTTTTATATGTGTAACACATCTAAAGTGAATATTTCAGACAAACATTGTTATCATTTGTTATGCTTTGGCCTCAACTTTAATGAAAATTGGTTAGTAGCATATTGTTCTTTGGATCAAAAATGATTTTTTTGTAGATATGCAATAAGGCTTCTAATGTTGGTAAGGTATAGTTGAAGGTACATTTTTGTACCTTTTGCTTTTACACTGTCTTGCTATTTTTATATTTTAAAAAATTTTATAGTAGAAATAAAGTGAACTATGTTGCCTGATTTGGATAAATATTACAAATGAATTTTTAAAAAAATTTGTTGGCTTTGTTGGAAAATAGTATGAAATTATAAAAAAATTAAATAAGAAGTATAAATGGCATTTATGTATTTAAAGATTTATATATTTAAGATTTTTTTTTTTTTTTTTTTTTTTTTTTTTTGCAAGGATTACCTAAAATAATAATGGTGATAATTACAAGTGATCTCTTTTAGTTTACAAGTGAGCAAAAAGAAAAACAAAGAAAAAAAAAAGAAAAAAAAATATTTGCAAGTCCATGTTGGCTCGAAGAGGCATTGTAACAAGATATAGAATATTCAATATGATTTTGCTTGATTCCATCCCTTCAAAGTATGTTTTAATTGCTTCCAAACCTACTTCTATTAAACTTGCTAAAATTGTCTTCTTAAGGTTATTTAAAAAATTTACATAAAATTTTAGTTCCATAGATATAACTATTGATGCATGATTGTTATTTATTATCTTTTCTAAGGTTATACTAGCTATGCATTATTTTCACAATGCAAATTTTTATCTTATCTTATTTAATTTTAAGTTAATAATTTAATATTCTAATTTTTATAAAAAAGTATATATAAAATTATATATATATATTGATTTTTTTAATGATTATTATTTTTATATCTTTAAAAAAAACAAATATATCTTTTGAAAACCTAAAGAAAATAATAGTTCTTTGTGCATTACAAATATTCTTTGTACTCATAGAAGATTAAGTGGATTTTTTTAAAAATTGACAAAATGTAATTGAGAAAAGAAGTCATTTGCTTTGTAAAAAAGATCTTTTGTTTTTAAGAGTTTTTTAAAAATAAAAGACTTTATTTTAATTAGATTTTAATTTTTTAAGATATCAATAAAATCTTAAAATACTATACTTCTTTTTGTAATGACATTGAATATTATGAATTTTAAAAATATAATAAAAAGCAATAGAAATATCACATATTAAATTGGTATTTAATTATTTATTTTATTATTAAAGAAAACAATGCAAAACATTGTAGATTCTAAATTGATGTTAAGACTTGAAACTAATAAGAGTCATAAAGACAAAGGACATAATATTACATACTTTAAGATATTGCAATTGAAATGTTAATGTATCATATTTGGTTATTAATTTTTGTAATTTTCTTGGTACTACTTTAATGTCAAGTAATTATTAGGAATCAAGTAGTTTTTTACTTGGAGCAACTTGGAACAACTTACAACTTATATATATCTAATTTCTATTTGCTAGCAAATTTAGTATATAATTTTTTACAATAGGTATACAATCTAGTGCTATATATTGTAATGTATCAATTACAATCAACACATAATTATTTTTTCATAACTATTGCACAACTTATGTGTATTAAGTTTAACATAAAATATATTGCATATCATTTTATTTATTGATCCATATTGCTAAAATCTTTGCTAATCTTAAAAAAAATTGCTTGATTTATTTATTTTTTATTATAAAAATATTATCAAAGTTCATTTGTCTTTGTTATATATTTAATTAAAAAATTAATTTGAATTTATCCTTAAAAAAATTGGCCTTATTTTAAAATCTTGTATTAAGTTTCTATTTCTACATATAGATCTAAAATTTCTATAATAATACTAAATTGCAGTCTTATCTTACAAGATAAGAAAGTTATTGAAGTAGTAGTTTGGTGTTGTAATTTCTACTATCTAATATATATATATATATATATATATATAAACTTTTTTTTTAATTAATTTTTTTATTAAATTATAAAATCATCTATTATTATCTTTAAGCCATTAAAATCTTAAAATTCAATCTATTTTAAAAATACTTTAAAAATATTTTTAGATTATTTTCAAGATTTGGAAAATTTAAAATATATTATTAAATTGTAAAATTTATTTAAACCAAATATTTACAACATATTGTCAATTAATTATTGTTTTGCACATTCACAACAAATCTAGTTTTATTTTTTGTATTACAATCAAACATCTTTAATTATATAAAAAATAATATATAAAAATAAATTTCATAATAACTCTATATATATATATATATATATATATATATATATATATATATATATATATATATTCTAATTGGATAAAAAATATATATATTATAGTTTTCTATAAATAATTTGTCATAAATTTTTTAAAAGCTCATCATTTCTTTCATCTTTTAGTAACCAAAAATATTCAAATATTTGTGTAATATCTTATCATCTTATTTAAAAATACTACAAGATAAAATATAAATAAAATTATAATTATATATATATATATATATATATATATATAGTCAAAACTTTTTATATCTTCTATTGGAAAATATGGACATGTTCCAAAATAAAATAATTATAATTATATATATAAAAACAAATAGACATTTTTACTCCAAAAATTAATCTTAGGACAACTCTATATATATTAAAAATTTCCCTCAACTTAGAAAAACTGAATCTAGTAATAAATATGTTAAATTTTAATTTTATAAATTAAATATAATATCTTCTTGCTAAATTATTTATATAAAAATTAATAAATAATAGATAATTACATAGTTACCTGCTATATTTAGAATAATTTGACTTAGTATTTCTACCTAATAATTATTGTATTAGATTATGGTTGCCAATTAATCTATTAGTACAAGTCAATCTCTAGTTTAACTCTTTTAGTTGTAATCTCTAATTAAAATAATGTAGTATACATTTATATCTAAATCTAAGCTACAACTAATAGATATAAATTATCTTTTTATTATACAAGGAGAGTTCTTTTCCTATAATGCTTGATTCTTTTCTATTTTGAATCCACAATAGTATACTATATTATTGATCCAACTATAAAGATAGTCTTATTATACGTTATTTTTTAGGTGATTATTTTAGATTAAAAAAATATATAATGTATTTTTTAATTAAATATATAATGTATTTTTTAATTAAATATATATATTTTAGATCTTTATAGATTTTTTGTTTTTTGTTGTTTTGTTTATGTTTTTGATTTTTATTTCTAGGATAAAAGACATATTAGACTATAATATAATTTAAAATATAATAAATTTTATTACTCCAACTTGATACAAACTTAAAATATTTTCATTACCATTTCTTAAGTTGTTAACTTCTTACAATTAGTACTTTATTTTTGTTTTTCTTAAAATTTTCTTTTGT